CCCCTCAGGACACACAAGGGATCACACACACACCCTGGGCACGCACAGAGTGGGTGCACATACATGTCCACTCAACACCACGTGTGCACATACACCACACACAGACACACCATGGGCACACACAGGCACATAGAGGGCTGTGAGCATGTATGGACATCCACACACTGTGGGGAGGTGTGGGCATGGGGAACACCATCCATGCACACTCACCGTGCACACACTGTGGGGATGCCCACGGGCTGCACACACACATGCCATGAGCACACGTGCATTGCTGTGCAAACACGGGCACACACAGACCATGCACGTCTGCACTCACACCAGTGTGCAAACGTGCTGTGCCACACATATCCACACCTCCATGTGCACACAGGAGCACACACTGAGCCACATGCACACATAACACCCCAATGTGTGCCCTACACAGACACACAGACACACACACAGACACACACAAACACACACACAGACACACACAAACATACACACAGACACACAGGCACACACACAGACCCACAGTGATTCATGTACACACCTCCCCCCCCACACACTCCCCCAGGTCATACACTGCTGCACCCCCCATGGCACACAGCACCACGGCCCCCCACACCACCCAGTGGTGCACACCAGCACACCCACTGCCACCCCCCAGGACACAGGGATTACAGACATGGTGAGTGCTGTGTGTGACTGTGCACATAAGCACAGCATGATCCTCTCTCCTGTCTACATGGCTTGCTCTCAGCAGACCCAAGGGAGCAGTCCCAATCCTCAGTGGTGCTGGGTGCCCAGGGTGCCCCGGGCAGCCTGTGGCCTGGCCTCTCCACCTCCCCTGCATGAGCTCTGGGTGCTGAGCCCAGTTACCAGCCCTAGTACCGCCACTTGGGGCCATCGGGGGGGCAGACAGGCAGGTACAAACCCACCCCCTCCTCCAACACACCCATGCACATGCAAAAGGTCTACATGGACCCATGTGCAGGCGCAAACAATCCCCCAAATTGTATGAATGCCCTCACCACGGAGCCTCACACAGAAATGCACCCAGGCACACGCAGCCAGGAGGGGAGGGAGCTGGAGGGGCCGGAGGTGCGTAGTGGAGAATAGCTGACACCTTCGCAGCTCGGCTTCCCAGCGTGGAGGCGGAGGATGGCTGGAGACATGCCTGGGATGGTGGCCGAGCCGGGCGGCGGAGCAGCACGGGATGTACCAGATCCCCGCTGTCCAGCGGCAGCCGGAGAAGGCTCAGGCGGGTCCCTCACTGAGCCGAGGCTCCATTTACTGCTCCCAGCTGATGGATGCCTGTGTCCGTGCCACCTCTAAGCCTTGTCCCCATGGCAAACCGCACGGAGCTCGGGGCTGGCGCTGGCACATCCCTGCGTGAGCGGCGGGATGGGGAGGCAGCTGAGCCGGGGCGCAGGGGGGGCTGTGGGTGCTGGGGGTCAGGGTGCTGGGGGTGGGCTCTCTGTCCCAACACCCAGAGGTTCTCCCAGCCCCAGGGGCTTAGGGCACGGCCATCCTCGGTCCTCGCTCGCCGGCGCTGTGCCCGAGCAGGGGAGCTGCGAGGCTGAGGAGGGGCTGGGAGCCCGCCAATGTAAAATGGCTCCCGTCGAGCAGCTGCTGTGCGGCACAGCACAGTACAACCCTGGCCCCCACACAGCCCCCAGCTCCTGCCCCCAGGGCCTGGTGCTATCCCAGTGCCGTGCCCCAGCTCTGCTGGGTGCAGGTCCTCACGCACCCCGAGTCAGCGCTGCACCGGGCAGCTCTGCGCTGGGCATCCCCTCCTCCTGCCTCCCCAGGATCCCCCCAGCTCCTTCTCTAGCAATTCCTCCCTTCTCCCACGGTAAGATCTCCAGCCCCTGCCCCAACTCGCTCTGCACCCTCAACTTGCTCCCACCCAATGCCAGGCGGGATCGTCCCTCTTCCCCTAGACCCCAGGCCCGCTTCCTCAGGACACGCTTCATCCTCCTCTCCTGTCCAGGCGACCTGTCCCTCCAGCCTGGGGCTCTGGTAGATGCCTGGGGGAAGAAGAAGTGTTATTTCCTCCCAGACATCAAAATCCTTGCACAGATTCACCCTCGCTGGAGACCTGTCACCGGCCGGGGACATTCCTTGTGCTGTGAGAGGGCATTGGTGTAACAAAAGATCCCCCAGAGATCACCCATCTCCTTCCTTTCCGTTTGACACAAAATAGGATCCTGCTGGAGACCGAAGTCCCAGCCCTGCTATAACAGCAGGATTTTGCCGAGATCGTCCTTCCCCGTTTTGGTATAACCCAGATCTCCTCCCCCTGGCATGCTGAGGGCAGATCCCAGCTCCTGCCCCCCCAGTACTCTCATTTCTGTGCCCAGGGCCAGATGGCTGATTTGCTCTGTGGCTCTGCGCTCCCGCCGTAGTCCCAGCTGACCACTTTGTCTGTAATAGTCCTCAGAGGGGAATTACAACTGAGTATTAAATGTGTGGTTAAAGAAATCACATTACACAGTGTGACTGCAAGGGAGATGTTTCCCTTTAATCTGTAATCCATGGAAGTTATTAGTTTACTGAGCAGAGCTGGTAGGCACGGCATTTCCATTAGGATATAACCCTGAGCAGACCCATCACCTCCAGCCACAGCACAGCTCCCAGCACAGTCCTTGCTTCCCTGTTCCCAGTTACCTCAATGCCGTTATCGTGTTAACATGGGGCTGTTTAACATTGCAGAAAAGAAAAGGAAAAAAAAATCATGCTGGACAGCTGATGTGCTCCTGTGAAATAATGTTTGTGTCGTGTATCCTGTCCTGCAGGTCTATGCAATATTAGTTAGCCACCCTCCTGCTCCCAACGATCACCTAACACCAACACCTGTATCATACACAGCTGGCTTCTACAGGATCCCTGTCATTGGTCTGACAACACGCATGTCTATATATTCTGATAAGGTAACTGATGCATGTTTCTAGTCTAGTACCTCATACATGTGCTGTAAACCAAGAGTGCCCGTCAGGAGGGTTAATGATGCCAACACTCTGTGTCTGTCTGTCTACCCTCTCCAGCTCAGCCTGCAGCTCCCTCTCTCTCTCCTGCATTCCCCAGTACATTATTTTTTCACAGCTGCCAGTGTTGACCTACATAGTGCCGGATGATTTCTGCAGCATGGCTCTGCCAGGCTGCTGGGCTTGCTGCTCTTCAGCCAAGCACAGGCATAGCTGGTTCCTGCCCTGCTCACTAGTGACAGCCAGGGGGTCCAGGGGGCTCCCCGGGTGTGTGTGGGCCTGTGGAGGGGCAGGAGGATCCTATTAGAGCCTGTACATCGGGCAGGAGCTCTCTGGGGCTTCAAGGTTTTTCGGTTGCATTCACTTATCTGGGTTTATGGGATATTGGTAGGGAGATCACAGAATATCCCGAGGCTTCACATGACACTCAGTCTGGCCAGCACTCAAGACAGAGGTTCAAATTCCAATGTCTCAAACCACTGCAGCTGTCTCTGTGGGCACACAGAGGCTTCCAGACTGGATGAGGGTCTGGGGGCAGTGCCCGGCCCTGGGCAATGAGGTGCTGCCCTGGCCCTCAGCTCACAGCCCATCTGTGATTAGTGAAAGCAAAGGGAGGAGCTGAGCAGAGCCAGGCCATCCACATGCCATTGCAGGATTCCATGCAGGCACACGAGCTCAGTGGGTGAGATCAAGCCTGTTTCAAAGCATGAATCGGCCTTTGCTTGGAAAATGTGAATATTCACAAATGTAAATGTTCTGTGCAAAAATAGTCACTCCGCCTACATGCCAAATGAAGTCAAATTTCAGGAGGGAGGAGCAGAGGTTCCTAGAGATGCACCAGCAGCACTGCTCAGCTGGAGAGCAGCAGCTCTTGGCATCTCCCACCAGTAAAGCCATGATAGGATGGACACCAAGCCAAGACCACAGCAGTGACCGTGATGGTGGCTGGCTGGGCTGGGGACCTGCATGGGCAGGGCCCCACCGGGTTAGAGGGAAAGGGATGGCAACAGAGCTGACAGAGCAAGGGAGAGGGCAGGCAGCAATAGTGCAGGGGGAATTTGCTTCGTGCTGCTGTGGAGTGGAAATACATCTGATGGAAATGTCACTGACAGAGACCTTGTCACAGGGGCCAGGAGGGCAGGGAAAGGGGACCCTGCACACTGTGGGTCCTGCTCCATCTCTGCAAGGCTGTGCTCACCAAAGCAAACCACCTGTCCACAGCACAGCCTGGGGCAGGATTGGCGTGCCCACCCCAAGGGGCTGGGACCTGCCCTGGCACTCTCTGCTTCTGACAGATTTTTTCTATTTCAAATGTTTTCTGCAAATCTGGCTCATAAAATGTACCTGACTCACTTCAGGGCTGGAGGAGCAACCCACTGTACTGTCAGGAAATGCTCTCCATGGAGTATTTTGGGGAGTTCAGCCAGTGCAGGGCTGTGGGCTGCGCTTGCCTGGCACAGACTGAGCAGGGAGGCCACCCTGCCTGTACCAGGCTCATCTCACCCCTCTGAGCACTCCTGCCCGTCTGGCCTCCTGCTTGGCACCTGCCCATCCAGGCAGATGGGGGCCTAGGGGCTTGGAGCTCTCTGCAGAGGGTGGAGATGCTGGCAGGAGATGGGGCAAAGGCAGGGACTGGGGAGAGGAGCAAAGGATGTTGAACAGTGGAAGGGACAGCAAAGGTGGGAGTGAAATGGGGGACAGAGGGGTGTGAAACTGTGGGACAGGCTCTGCTCACCCCATGTAGGACAGGCTGGCTCATGCGATACAGGGACATTCAGCTGTTCCCTTTTTGGTTTCCAGTGATCAGCTTCGTTTTTGGGTTACTTTTTAAATTCAGTAAATTATATCTTTCAGCTTAGTTTCTATGGAAACAAGCTTGTAAGATCACTTTGTATGTACGCCCCTGATTGGTTTTGAAGGCGTCAGGCAATTTTAGCTAAATTTCACGGGGGGTTAAAGTGGAGTTAATTATGGTCCTCTGCAGGCTATGCTGCCAGAGGGAGGAGAGGTGTGGGCCTCAGCACAGACAGGTTTGCCCAGTACCTTTTGATGCTCCCAGAGCATCTCCAGTCGAGCACAGTGGTCCAGGAGCTGTAGCCAGTCTACCAACAAAGATACCCCAGGGAAGGGAGCTTTATTGCTCCCAGTATCCAACCAACTATTTGTTCTATTTGTTCTATTGCAGCTGAATGCTCTGGCTTGGTAGCCTTTGCCCCCCTTGTACGTACATCTTATGAAATCATTGCCTGTTCCTTCACCAAGATCCTCACTCCATCCAGCATAGTCCTGCCTGTACACTGAGGGGTCTCTGGAATCCCAGTCACCTCTGAGTGAGGTGAGCAGGGAATTGGAGGAGGAAAGGGGGCTCTCGTGATAAAGTGATCAGAGCAGTCCCCATGGCTGTGGTGTCCATCACTGTGGAGAGCCCTCCATGGAGATCTCATGGACTGAGCATTGCAAAAGTCACACTCTGGCCTTCCCCTGCTGGGCCCCCTGCATGGACAGGCTGGACTGTGCTTTAGTGCTCCTGCTCCCATGTGTCATTGGGGGTGTTTATACTTCCTTTACATCCCAGCTGAAAAAATGAGATGACGTGGACATCTTGGCAATATGAGAAATGTGAAATGACATGGAGAGTGTGAGAGCAAAGCTTGTGGGGAAATGCACAGCTCAAGAGCCAGGAAGAGCTGGTGCTGTTCATCATCATCATGTGGAACGTGATCCCCACCTATGTGGTGGGGATGAAGGGACATCCTGGATGCCCAGAGGTGCTGAGCCCCACACCATACCCTAATCCGAGAGCTATTGCAGTGGAGGATCAAGGGGTTTTAAGTGAGACTTGCTCTGTGGTGAAAGAGATGGAAAATGGAGTTTAGTCATCGTGCACTTGGAGAGCTATTTCAATTCCAGCACCTGGTCCTGGTAGTTGCAATGAGGTCTGTCTCTTTCTCTCTCTCTTCAGCCTGGGGATGGCTTTTACCTCTGGTTCCTGGTCTCACTGTAACCACTCCATGCCTGGAAGTGAGGCACTGCTCACTGAGAGGGGTACTTTTCTCTGTTACTGGTCTCACTGGCAACAATGCTCAGCAGAAACCTTCTTAATCAGAGTGGGAAGCTGCACTGGAAGTGGGGAAAAAGCGATTCCCCTTGACCAAGGTCAGGATCAGAACTCCTTCACCTGTAAGCAATGACTGGAGAGGCTGTTTAGTGTAACACAGAGTTGTTTGCCCCAGGAATGGGCAGCCCAGCCATCAGTAGAGTAGCTCAGCCCTCAGCAGGGCAGCACAGCCCTCAATCAAGCAGCCTGGAATGTTCCAGAGCAGACCAGGCTAGAGCAGTGCTGGGCTGATGGAGCCCACTCATCCCAGTGGAGGAGAGCTCTTCATAGGCTCTCAGGATTCCAGCTGGGAGAAGGACAGACACCCCCTACTCCACAGTGGCCATTCCCCAGAGGCTGCCACGTCCCTTCCTCCGTGCTCTGCAGGGAAAGGCAGGCAGTGCATTTGAGTCTGAGCTGCCCACACCCCTGTCCCCACTGAAATCCCTCCTGCACACATCTGAGCTGTCTCAGAGTTGTCTCAGCTCCCTCCCACGTCCACAGCTGTCACGTGGGGCAGTGGGCAGGCTCCTTCCATGGGGACACTGGCCACCGCTTCTTTTTCATACCCAGCTGGGGATTTTTACTAAATTTTCCTGTGCTTTATAGGTTGAGATCTCTGTCAATCTCTTTGAAACTGCCCAGGCAGCTCATTTTGGGAGTGAATTGCTAGAAGGGAGACTGAACACATTTCCATAGGAAGTGAAACTGAAGCACGTTGCCTACTCAAGCCTCTGAAGCTTTCATTTTTCTTTAATTTTCTGTAGGAAAAATAACTCCCTCAGCCATGGACCATGAGCTGGGATGAGCCCTTAGGCAGGCAGAAGTAAGAGGATAGCAAACCTTTCACTCAGGGACCTGATGTGGGCACACACCCGTGGTGGCCTCCAGCCATGCCCTGTGCACATCCCTTACAGATACAAACTCCATCAGCAGGCACCCACACGTGCCTCTTCCCCCAGGCAGAGCATGGCCATGTGCAGACTATGCACAGGGATTCCAGCCCCAAGCACTTTCCCTGCAGAGGTACCTGCGCTCACATGCTCTCTGCATGGATGTGCTCACATTTGTGCACACACAGAACCCCGGCTTTCACACACAGCAACAGCTCCTCTTTGGTGTGTACTCACATCAACCAAGTGAGGACAACTAATAATTTGCAGTTCTTAAGTCCTGACCCCACATAGAATCCTCATAGAATCCTAGAATAGTTTGTGTTGTGTAGGACCTTAAAGACCACCTCATCCCACACCCCTGCCATGGGCAGGGGCACCCTCCACTAGACCAGGTTGCTCCAAGCCCTGTCCAGCCTGGCCTTGGACACTTCCAGGGATGGGGCAGCCACAGCTTCTCTGGGCACCCCGTGCCAGGGCCTCACCACCCTCACAGAACTTGCCATGAATTATTCTTCATTTTCCTATCTAAAAACCACAATTCTGTAATCCAGGAGCTGAGATACCATCAGGGCAAGTCCATGGCCCTTTTGACACCACCTCGGAAAGCAAATTTCCCTGAACTGTTAAACCAAGTTGCCCCCAACAACCTTGCAATAAATTGTTCATCTGAACCAAGTGATATGTATTTACAATACTTAAGGAAGCCATGATCAGTTTAAACACCATTTTTACAAGCTAATGGGAAACTAGAAAATAATTTGATGTAATATACTGAAATCTCAGAGATTTTTTAATTTCAAAAATGGATTGAATGCATTTTGTTAGAATTCTGATTTTTTTTTAGCCTGTGTTTTGCTGATTTTTTTTTAATATTAGTTTTTCTGGGGTTTTTTTCCCAGCTCTTTTCTGATCTTTTTTTTCCCATTTTCATTTTCCCTGGATTTTCTTAAAGCAATTAAAAGTGGTCAGGGGTTAGAAATTAGAGATGCTCAGATCCATCTTGTGCATCCCTGGTCCAAGCTGTGGAGCAGGACCTGGAAACTCCTGGGCATCTCTGCTGACTCCAAACAGATTTTGAACACTGTGTTGGTGTGGAGACTGTGGTTGTTCTTCCATCGTTTGTCTCTTGGGGCTTCTTCCCAATCCAATGGATTAGGGCTGGGCTTGTGGGGTGAGCTGCATTTCTGCTGCTCTTCCCAAAACTGTGAATGTCTGTATCAGCTCTGAGATGTTTGTATTAGCTCTGAGATGCTTGTTGTGGCTCTCCTGGTTTGCTTCCTCCTTTGTTTAAACATCCACAGTTGTCCTCAGTGGCTTGGTGGTTTTGCTGCTGCCTCCATCGTTCCTGTGTGTTGGGACAGGGCAGGAGCAGGGGTTTGACACTATTTTCTACAGATTTCATGGTTTGGTTTGACATTATCACCATGTTGGGTGTGAGAAAAAGGCTTTATTTGGTGTGTCTGTTCCTCCTGTATGGGTCGATGGGGGACATGATGCCTTTTCCCTTCCAGTGTGATTTACTTTGGCCCCTTCAGGACATTTCTGACCCATGCTGGGTCTGGTCTCTGGGTGAGCAGTTCTGGACAAGACCTGTTTGGTCTCAGCCTCAAAGAAAGAAATATTATGGTGCTTTCCTTTCTGTCCTCTCTGGTTCAGAATTCTGCCCCCCTCCAGCATGTAGCTGGGTTGCCAAGTAAGGGCCCTGCTGAGCATGAGCACTTTGACTGTCTAATATTTGACTGTAGGGCCTTTTGGAAAAGCTGCATTTGTTTGAGAGCTCTCTGTCAGCTACAGTTTTTGGTCCAGTTGCTCCCCTAACAGTGCTGTACTTAATTAGGCTGGAATTGCTATTGCACAATCATCCAACCATAACGATGTCTTTAACCAAATCAGAGAGGTCAACTGGGACATGAGTCCAGAGCTGCCTCCTCCTGTGGAACAGGCTGACCTAGAAACAGTCAGAGACCATGTTATAAAACTGCTTTTCTGAACTTCTCTCATGACAAATAACTAATATATAGCTGCCTGTACCTGCCTCTTGCTCCTCTCTAAAGGGAATTCAAGTTCTTTGTGATGTCCGTTGCGCAGTAACAATTTTGAAAAGCCAAGAGGCAAGGCTATATTTGCACTAAACACTGCTGGCCCTTCATGGCTCGATAGACTTTTCTTTACTGTGGACCACAAAGCAAAAAACCCTCTTTGCCATGCTCTAGATTAACCACAGAGAGGTACAAAATCACAGCCAGGATTTGCTTCTCAAGCAGAAGGAAGGAGTGCAGGTTAGCACTAGAGGTCTGCTCAAGGTGTGCAACCCAGAGGTCTTCCCAAAATGGCTTTGTGATCCCAGCCCTGTCCCTGCAAACCTGGCTGACAAGCCCACAGTCTGTGTTGAGCTCTTGTTCTTCCTTGCAGAGCATCCACCTGTCCTTTTTGCGCACGGTCCCTCCATACTCTCACCAGGCCAACGTCTGGTTTGAGATGATGAGAGTCTTCAACTGGAACCACGTCATTCTGATAGTCAGTGACGACCACGAAGGTCGTGCTGCACAAAAGAAGCTGGAGACCCTCTTGGAGGAGAAAGAGTCCAAGGTCAGTTCCTGAACATTGTCTTGTAGCTTTGTTTAAGCAACAACAAAACTAGAAGTCTCGGGCTGTTGTATGTATGTAGATTTCTGTATGTAAAACACCTTTTCTTTCCATTGTAACATGGCTAACATGCTTAAAGCATCAACAGTGTCTGACTAGTACCTGACAGAACTTTGTACTTTATTCATTTCACTTGCTTTGCCATGGTCAAAATCTCCTACATGTAAATCGACTACAAAATGAAGGGAAGGATAACCTGGAGCTCTGCAAATGCCTCGCCCAAGATTCCCACCTAAGGAGAGGACCAGTCGCTCAGCTTAGGGAAGCACCTGCCCCATTACAGCCACCCCGGGGCCAGGCAGACCTAGCAGTGCCAAACCAACCCTGAAAAGCAGCTTCTGAATTGGCTTCCCGGGGCTTACCTTAGAGGCTTAGGAGGGGCCAGGCAGCCGGTGTGTTGCTGCCCCGAGGGGCACAGCACCCTCTGTGTAGAGCCGTGGGCCGCAGGCTGCGCCCGTTCCCATCTCCATCGAAGCACATGCCAAACGCTGCTTTCCTGACACCCATTGCTGGTACAAGAGGGCGGTTGTGGCTTTATGGAGGAGGTGCACTGCACCTACACTCAGGGCCAGCAGGGAGCAGGGAGGGAGGTCCCCAAGCCTGCTAGAGATTCAGGAGGACAACCACAGACCTGCGGCGTGGAGTGAAAGGACCAAGCTAACGTTCCAGACAAGCAGGGAAGGAGAACACAGGAGCTGTTTGGCTGCAATCTGGAAGACAAGGAACCACCTCCTGCCCTACAGAGTGAAGTCCCAGCACGTTCTCTTGCCTGGGGCAGGGTGAGTCCCCTTTGGGTGTGCAGACACTGAGCCCATCCAAGTCTCCAACAGCATCAGGGCAGGAACCAATTCAGGGCTGTTCCCTCCTGGGTCACAGGCAGGGACCTCAATCTGCTCTTCTCCAGCCCCACCAGCAGCTGCTGGACCTTTGGCAGTCAGTCAGCTGTTGAGGAGATGTGGCCACAGACACTTCTTGTGCTTGGAGTTGGTGGCTCAGCTGAGAGATCAGAGAGAGCAGCCTGTCACTGCTCTTCATCACCTCCCTGGTGAACAACTGGTGCAGGGCTGCAGGCTGGCACAAGCCACACTGAACAACAGGTTTTTGGTTTTGGCGGTGATTTCCGAGGAGTCTCATCCTTGCTGCATCCTGGATCATCGTGAGACAGTGACGTGCCACCAGCTATGGTGGGATCCTCCTGCCTCCCAAGGCAGTTTCCTGCTGGGTGACAGTGGAATATATTTCACTCCAAAGCCTCTTCCCAGCACAATGTCACTCATCCAAGGAGAGCCATTGCCAGTCTCTCATTCCTTTCCTTGCATTTTTTGATTTCCACTTTCTGCTTTCCTACAGTTCCTCTGTGTTCCCTTTTGCTGCTCCCTCTCATGACTCCACTCCTTGCCTGCTCCATGTGATGCTCCCAGGCACAGGGTGCATTTCTTCACCCTATCCATCACATGGGAAAGATCTTAGATCTGGAGCTTGAAAGATGGGGAGCAGGGGATGTGCTCAGACCTGCCCCACATTTGCACTGCATCTATAACATGTCTTGGCAGCCACTGGGCTGCTGCACATGTCCAGGCTACTCTCCAGCCTGAGACACCTGCTCTGTGGTGGTAGGTCACTTTGTCTTCCTTTTGGGGTGTGCCACTGCACCTTGTTTCTGTTTTCCTTGCAAAAAAGGTCAAACAGACAGGTCTGACTGGTCTTGAAGGTGGTAGATAGCCTGCTGGGGCTTTCCTATCTTCCTTAATCTCTTCTTCTAATTCCTTTTCTGATCACTGATGTGCTGACTCTCTTCATGCCATGAAGGGGTACCTTGGGCCCCTGCCCAGCCTCCTCAAGGGCAGCCTGGCCCTGGGGAGGGAGCAGGCAGGAGACCTGATCTCGACCTCTGCAAGGCTTGGGTCACAGTCCCTGAGGTCCTGTCCTCAGAGACTCCCCTGCCCACTCGAACTCTTGGATTGGAGCATGGCTGTGTCCCCCACAGTCTGCACTGTCCCTGGGTGTCACTCAGGCACCACTGTGTGGGTTTGCACTTCCACCAGGCACTCCAAGCCCAGCACTCAGGCCATGCTGGCCGGTCCTGGCACACCCCATGTGCTCGCCTTGTCTTAGGTCTGTCAGCAGTAACTCTGCTGCTCCACCCCAGCACAACTCTGCTTGTTCATCTGGGCAGGCCACCAGTGCTGCTCAGGATCAGGAGGGAGTGTTGGACACTGTGAAATCAGAGTTTGTCCAAGTCAGAGGTGGCAGGTCCATGGTGTGCTGGGTCTCTTTCTCTAGGACAGTGGTAACTTTTTTAATGAATGCTTGAGAACCTGGTGGAAATTTTAATTTGTGGGTCCCTGTGTGAAACATGAGCTGAAGAGCAGGGAAGGGCTGCAGGACCACATGGAAAAATGGGGGGAAAAAAGACACATTATTAGTCTAGTTCTGTAGGGATAGTGACAGGGAGAGGTGATCAGGTGCCAGCTTTGCTGCACCCAAGACTCTGCTGACCAGCCTGGATCGAGGTGCATATCCCAGGCACACAAGGCTATTCATGTCTGGAGGCTGCAAGAGGGATGACCAAGTTTTTGGCTACATTGACAGTGCCTAAGGAGAAATGACCAGTGTCCCATCACTGGAGAACATTCATGCTGTCCTGCACCTCTGTTCTCCTTGAAGGCAGTTGTTACCCCAGGTCTCACTGCAATCTCAGCAGTCTCTAAGAAGCCACTGCAGAAATCCTGGCTGTGGATGTCATCAAAAGTGAAGGCAGACCTGGGCTCCAAGCAGATTTTGCTTCCTCAGATACTTTGCCTTGCAAGGACTCAATTCCTTTGAGCAATGAAAACCTGCCAGGCTGTGTCCAAGGAGAAGAAAGCAAAGATCACATGGCTGCACAGAAAGCAGACCTGCAAAATGTCCTGCCAAAGATTGGCCCGAGTGCTCAGGAAAAGGCAAGCTACTTAGTTTGGAAAGCGAGACACAGAGATAAAACCTGGCTGTCTAAGAAACAACCTGGGAACATGAACCTTTGCATTCCAGGGGTGCAAAGGGTCTGGTTCCTGTCAGGGATCAGTTGCCATTGCCACAAAGTTCTGGAAAAATGAAGATCAGAATAGAACTGTGTCCCATACCCCATATACATAGATCAGGAATACTCAGCAGGGGTGGGGTGGGGTCAAGAAGAAGAGGTCAGACACTGTCCCACCACAACCTGCCAAGCCGTCTCCTGAAGGCATTGTCAGATTGCTGTTGTTGGCCTGACCAGGTGGGCTGCTCGCAGGAAGATCCACGGGGCTCTGTGCACGCTGTTGCAGGGTCACGGCTCCTGAGAGCAGAGGCTCTTGGCCTTCAGCACACTGCCTGGAGAAGAGGAAACCTCCAGAAGCAGGTTTCATGCCTTGGGCTCCTTTGGGGCCAAGCAGCAGAAGTGGCTCAGGTAGGAGACAAGGGGAGGAGCAGGTTCTCTGTCCGGTCTCTCGTCTCCAGGGTCAGAGCATGCTGAGCCCCCTGTCCTGAGCCCCAGTGCTGCTCTGGTCAGCAGCGTGGAGACCACCAAGCAGTGAGCCCCACTAGCCACCTGTAGGGCCAGGTTATGGGCACTGTGGTCTTGGGTAGCTGCACCTCCCAGGGCCACCCTTGTGCCACAGAGCCATGAGGTGCCTCCCCAGGCACCAGGTAAAAGCTGCAATGTCATCCCATGATCACCATTGCTTCATATCGCCACGCTTTGAGCCAACACGGGATGTAGAGAACGTTATCTTTCTCTTTTGGATGTCAACAGAGCTCCAAAAAGCTGCTCCCTCCTTTCAGGGGGTGAGAAGTTCAGCTGAGACACCTCATTTGCTGTGAACTCTCTGAGGGTGAACAGGATTGTAATGCTCATAGTGACTCTAGTATTGCTAATACTCTTAACTGTAACAGTTTGCCTTTATCCAGCACTTTCCGTACACAACATTTTGTCCTTTACTTCCACAGTAATTCCATGGAAACCCCACCACTTAGGCCCTTAGAGATGCATAGATTGTTTCTGAGCTTAAGATAAAAAATTTCTTGCTGAAGAATTCCCCAGTCCCACAAGGGAAATGCAACTGCAGCATCGCACCAGCTGTGGCACTGAGGCTTGCTCTGTGAGATATGGCCTTGCACCGTGACCTCCCGTGAGAGCTGAGGCACTCTCTCTCCTGATAGTGGTTTTTGCGAGCTCCAGCGTTATAGAGACCCTTTAGCAAACAGTGGAGGAGGAGGTGGATGTTGGATTGCTTTACTACACGTCATTTTCAACTGTTTATAATATTCTTCTGTGTCTACATATTTTCTCTGTGCACATTATTCATCAGAGTAAAAAAAGGAACTATGAAAACCTCGACCAACTTTCCTATGACAACAAGCGAGGACCCAAGGTATATATGCATGGAAATGCACGCCGCCCACCAACCTAACTAGCAAATGAAAAGTAGCCACAGCCACCAGAAAAATAAAAAAATAAAAAATAAAAAATAAAAAAAGAAAAAAAAAAGTGAAAGAGAAAAAAAAAAGAAAATAAAAGAAAGAAAAAAAAATCCATGACTATGTTTCTTGGTAGCACGTTTTTATGTTGAGATAGTTTGGTTTGGACTTGAGAATGGAAACTTAGCCAGCTGACCCTGGAAGGATTTCTTTTTGAAACATGCATGTGAACCAGTAATTAACTTGCAAGTTTTTTTTTTTTGGAAAGTTGAACCAACCCCCTTTCCTCCCCAAAGGAAACGGTTCCTTGGTGTAAGTTGCTCACTTTGACTCCCAAAGGTTAACCTTGTGCAATATGTTTTTCTCATTTCCCATGTTTTTGAAAAACAACACTCGTTTGAGTTTTCAATTGCATTTCAAAGCCTTTTTCTCTTTCCTGTACAATGCACGCCTCTTTTTGGGTCTTGATTGACTTCAGTTTGCATGCACAGTGCAAAAAAAATAAAAATAAAAAAAATAAAACAACTGAAAGGCCAAAACCTTAAAAGAGAAAGGAAGGAAGGAAAGAAAGAAAAGAAAGAAAGGAGAGAAAAAAGAAAAAAAATAACTATAACCAATCTTATTTAGCAGATTTTTGTGCAGTTTAATGAATTCTCTTGACCTTTTCTAGATAGCATGGCTCTCACCACCAGTCCTGGGGCTCCCACACTAACCAGCTTTGCTCACACTAATCACAGGCTGAGAAAGTGCTTCAGTTTGACCCTGGAACCAAAAATGTGACATCGCTGCTGCTGGAGGCGAAGGAGCTGGAGGCTCGAGTCATCATCCTCTCTGCCAGGTAAGGCAGTGCCATTCCTTCCCCTCCCTGCTCTGCTTTTCTCCTCTCCCCTTTGCAACACTGCCCAGAACTGAAGTCAAAGCAGATTTGAGGTTTGTCATCCTTCCAAGGAGCACGAGAGAAAACCTCATTGTGGTTTAACCCCTGCCAGCAGCCAAGCCCCTCACAGCCACTCCCCCACTCCCCCAACAACGATATCAGGGACAGAATCAGAAGGGTAAAAGATGGAGAACTCGTGGGTTGAGACAAAGACAGTTTAATAGGGAAAGGGGAAAACAAAAGCTGCTCACATAAGCAAAGAAAAACAAGGAATTAGTTCACTGTTTCCACGGGCAGCAGGTGTTCAGCACCTCCAGGAGAGCAGGGCCCCATCCCATGGAATGGTGACTTGGGAAGACAAACACCATCACTCCAAATATCCCCCAGTGTTCCTTCTTCCCCTCAGCTTTATATACTGAGCATGATATCATATGGTCTGGAATATCCCTTGGATCAGCTGGGGTCACCTGTCCCAGCTGTGTCTCCTCCCAGCACTCCCAACTTCCTGGCCCGTGTGGCAGCAGGAAAGCAGAAAAGCCTTGGCCCCGTGCGTGAGCCCCGCTCAGCAATAACAAAAACATCCCTGTATGATCAACCTGGTTCAGCACAAACCCAAACACAGCCCCACACCAGCCTCTGGGAAGAAAATTACCTGTCCCCCAGCTGAGAGCAGCACAGCCCCACACAGGGATGTCCTGGGCAAGGGGTGGGTGCTGTGCTGGACATGCTGCTGGCCTGGGAGCTGGCAGTCACCAGCGAGGCTGGGATGTCTCTCCTGCACAGTGTCAGCAGCTGCAGAACCAGCTGCAGTCAGTGACGGTGTATCCTGGTCCAGCTGTGTAGGAGGGGAGTCTCATTGTCCATGCCTGCAGCATAAGGACTGGGCCAGATGTGCAGATGCTCAGCAGTGCTGTGCCCTGTGGGATCAGGTGAAGCTGGGAGAAAGGTTCCCATTGCTCAAGAAATGAGCTGTTACCCAGCAGAAACAGTTGTCAGAGAAGGGCTACCTGGACTTGTGTCTTCCCTGGCACTGCCACCGCCTTGGGACCTGACACAGGACAAAAGGGGCCATCCAGCACCTGGAGCCACATTGCCCTTCCCTTCATTAAGCTCTTAGAGAGTGTCCAAAGGAGGCAACAAGGACGGCGAAGGGCCTTGATTTGAAGCCGGGGGAGGACACTTGGGGTGTTCAGCTGGAGGAGACTGAGGGGAGAGCTCATGGCAGTTCCAGCTTCCTGGGGAGGGGCAGAGGAGGGGTTGGCCCTGAGCTCTGCTCTGGGGGGACCAGGGACAGCACCCAGGGAATGGCCTGGAGTTGTGTCAGGGTAGGGTCAGGTTGGATCTCAGGCAAAGGTTCTTCCCCCAGAGGGTGGTTGGGCACTGACCAGGCTCCCCAGGGCAGTGGGCACAGCCCCAAGGCTGCCAGAGCTCCAGGAGGGTTTGGATGATCCTCTGGGGCACTGGGTGTGACTCTGGGGTTGGACCTGTGCAGGGCTGAGGGTTGGACTCGCTGATCCTTGTGGGTCCCTTCCAACTCAACACATTCTGTGATTCTGTGACTGCTCTCGTTGCAGTGAGGACGATGCAGCCACGGTGTACAGAGCAGCAGCCATGCTCAACATGACGGGCTCGGGCTATGTGTGGCTGGTGGGGGAGCGGGAGATCTCGGGCAGTGCCCTGCGTTACGCCCCTGATGGTAGGCACCCCTGAGGCACCCCCGAGGCATCCCCGAGGCACCCCCAAGGCACCCACCCTGCTGCCACCAGTGCTTGGAGACCCTGCACAGAGCCAGCATGAGGGGCCCCTGCCCCCCGGGGACCCCCTGGGCTGGGGGAACACAGTGCCGTGGTGGTCCCAAGCAAGTGGAGGGTCCCACATGTCGCTTCCCATACCCCCTGCCTGCATGGGGAGTCGGCAGTCCAGCAGCCTTGTTCACACTGCTATACCCCAAATCCACATCACTGGGGCTTTGCAAGCTGACAGTCTCCTGGGGGAAGGGTTGGGCAGGGCGCTGGGGATGGAGCACGGGCAGTCAGTGGCCCATGTAGCTGTCCCCGTCCCCTTCTGGTGGGCAGGACGGTGCCCCTGCCTGAATCTCAGGCAACTCCCCACTGCACCCAAGGGTCCCCAGCCCATAACCAGGTGCTTGCTTGTCCCCAAACCCTGTTTGTGGGAGCAAAGCTGGAGCAGCCAGCGAGCCCAGGAGTGCTGACCTTCCTCCTCCCCTCCTCTCGGGCAGGAGTGATCGGCTTGCAGCTCATCAATGGGAAGAACGAGTCCGCCCACATCAGTGACGCTGTTGCCGTGGTGGCACAGGCCGTGCACGACTTGTTTGAGAAGGAGAACATCACAGACCCACCACGGGGCTGCGTGGGCAACACCAACATCTGGAAGACGGGACCCCTTTTCAAGAGGTATTTGGTAAAGGGTCCTGCTGGAGGGAGCAGAGGACCTGCTGGGGGAGAGCTGGAAAAGGTGGGAGTATGTGGAAAAGGTGCAGGAGGACATGGCAGCTTTGCTCGGAGTATCTGTCACTAAAGCTTTGGGGCATGTGGCACAGGGCTGACTGGACTCTCCTGCATGATTTGGATGTGAAGACTCTCCTAGAAAACCATCCCAGACACAGGCTCAGGAAATGGCACCCAGTTTAGGCATCATCTGGTGCCTGGCACCAAGTTGCTCCATGCCAAACCATGTTGCCCTGGGCAATGCTTGGGCAGCTGGGATGTAAGGGCAGGAAATGACTCTAGGAAGAAAAGATCTGGGGGCCATGGTGTCCTCCAGTCTGGATCTTAATTCCATGAGTGGAAGTGGGAGAGAGGGGGTTTTCTGCCAAATCAGGGTAGGGGGATGTTTCTGTCAAATTGAAGCTCGGTGCTGCGGACACATTTCCTGCTGAACATTCCAAGGGCTGTGGCATGGGTCAGTGTGCTGCAAGCAGATCTTGGTGGCAAGAGATCTCCCTGCATGGGACAGGCAGATGAGAGCATGTGTGTGTTGGGTCTTGCTGCCATGGGCAGAAGGATCGACAGATGCTGCATGTGCTTCCCAGAACCCAGTTTTTGTGCACATCGGTGTGGATGCTGGAGCCACAAGGGCCTCTTCTGCAGGCTGGACTGTGGTACAGCAGCAATTCCCTGCAGACCTGGGTTCTGCTGAGCATGGAACCTGCAAAGCCTGAAGTTTGTTTTAGAAATATTTCTGGCATCCTCTGCAGGAACACAGTTTTTGGCATGAGCGAGTCAAAGGTGTTCTCCACAAGTGGCTCAGGCAATTGTTCTGTGTCTTCACTATCATCTTTCCAGGGTTTGGGGGCTGGTCTCCTCTTGGTGGTGTATTCCTGGGGCTCTATGTAGGCTGTGATGAGCTGGTGCCAATCAGAAGCACCAGGAATTGTGACATGGACGCAGCTCCCAAGGGAAGCCAAGAGGAAGGTGTCCTTGGGTGTTGTGGGACACATCATTCCTTAAGGAAATGGGAATGATCTACTGGAAAACAAGGGACAGTGACAGCAGATATGATAGTGAACTTTGGGAAAATGGTTCCATCCACCAGGAAGGGATGACTGCTGGTCTATGAACAGACCATAGGTAGCCTTGACTGGATTTCTGTAGGATAGTGTGCATATGGCAGGTAACTGAGAGAAAGATTTGCCCTTCTGATGCCTTCTTAGGGGTCCCAATGGCCACAGCAGGTTTTCTAGGTTGTGCCCACTGTGTTTCCCTCTCTAGGGTGTTGATGTCCTCCAAGTACTCGGAGGGTGTCACTGGCCGTGTGGAGTTCAACGAGGACGGGGACAGGAAGTTTGCCAACTACAGCATCATGAACCTGCAGAACCGGAAACTAGTCCAAGTTGGGATTTACAATGGCAGCAATGTATGTACAGGCCTGGCCTGGGGAGAAGGAGTGTGTGTACTGGGGTGTTTACCTATGGCCTTATGTCCCTCTGCTTCCTCTGGGATCGCTCACAGGTCTTGACCAATGACAGGAAGATTATCTGGCCCGGGGGAGAAACTGAGAAACCTCAAGGCTATCAGATGTCGACCAAGTTGAAGGTAACAGCAAATGGCATTAGGGGGTGGCAAGTCTCCTCAGCTCTCTGCATGCCAGGCCATGACTTTATCTGCCTCTACCTCCACTGCTGCCTCTGCAGCTCTCAGCAGCATTTGCAAACCTGGGGCACCTCAGAGAGGATGTAGCAGAACAATACAGAAGGTACTGGAGGGTGTTCAGAGCACAGCTTTCAGCCGGAATCAAACTCCAGAAGCTGGAGGTGACACTGGAAGAAGGTCTCTCCAGTCTTGCTTTGCTTCTCATGCTCTTCCCTGAGGTAACACCCAGCAGCCACTTCAGTGACTGGATCCTGGGCAGGCCGGTCTTACCACTGTGGCCATTCATTTGTCCTGCTGTCCGGGCAAGGGACACACTCCTGCTGGTAGTGAGCCCTTGTCCCTGCAGAGGTGGTGTTGGTGCTTTGGGATGTTGCACAACTGAAAAGGTCTACGGTAGGACTGAAATATCTGCATTAGCTTGGGGCAGCATGACAGTGTCTAGAGGACCTTTCTGGGCACTAATCCTGGCTGTGTGGTGCCCCCCATCAGCCTCCTGTTAGGGAGAGGGGTTTTGAGGCTCATGTGAAAGTGCCACGTGAAGGAGGGTGCTGATACAGCTGTTCCTCATCTTGGGATCAGGGAAAGCAAATGTTCTTAGAGGTGGCCTTGACAGTGCTGGGTTAACAGCTGGAATTCATGATTTTAAAGGTCTTTTCCAGCTAAATGATTCTATGATTCTGTGATTCCCCGTGCCAAAGCCAGGTCTTACTGCTGGGCTGAGCAGTCTTGTGTGCTGAGATAGCAGCTGGGAAGGGCACCCGGGCATTTTAGCCATGCTGGTGTGGAGAGGGCAGCCCAGCTCCTCACCAGGGAAATGCAGCTCTGGAGGGGGACAGAGACAAGAGGGTGTTTGTGCTTGGCCTCGCAGATCGTGACGATCCACCAAGAGCCCTTTGTGTATGTGAAGCCTACGCAAGCAGATGGGACATGCAGGGAGGAATTCACCATCAATGGAGATCCTGTGAAAAAGGTCTTCTGCACTGGACCCAACGAGACCATCCCAGGTAACTCAGTGTGGGGGTGACTCCCCCAGCCCACCAGGCTGATGAAGAATGCCACTCCAAGAAGAGGTCTCAGGGAGGGTCCTCAGTCACACAGGAAGCCTAGAGGATGAGGAACAGAAAGATGACAGCACAGTCAGCCCCCAAATGACCCCCATCAGCTCAGCCCCACAGTAGTGCTGTGCAGGAATTGGGCACTGGAATTCAGGTTTTTGAACCCAACAGATTACTTTCCCACTGCCTCTTTTCTGGATGGGCTCCAGGGCTGTTTTGGGGGTTGCACCCCAAGGTTCTGTCTCCTGACATGCTCTAATTCTCTTTGCCTTGATCTCCAGCAGAAGTGAGACTCTCAAGGCACATTAGCTCTTCCTGCACTGATATGAACAACACCAGTTTCAAACTGTTATGGAAAGCCCATGTCAGGGTGAGGAGTGAGCACCTGGGGGGAGGGTGAGCTGCTCAGCAATGCCAGGCTTGCCCAAATCCACCTAAAGGGCATCCCCTTGGCCCGTCATGCTTTCCTGTGCACACCATTCCCCCAGCCCTGGGCTGTGTCCTGGGCTGTGTTCAACCTGGTAGGTCCAGCACATGCACCGTGCCCTCAGTGGGTGGGTAGCACCAAGTCTCAGCCCACCTCACTGGGACGTAGAGAAGGAATGAGACCCCTTTGTCCCCAGCTTGCCAGCACCAGAGGGGATGGAGGCAGTGAGAGGGTGATCAGACAGATGGCCCTGATGCATAAGGTGGTTACACCCCATACGGAACCAGAGCCGTGAGGTGGCTGTTGTCAGTGGGACAGGCATGGATCCTGTACGGGGTTCCTGGCAAAGGGCTGCCTCCATTCCTCCCCCCATTGTCTCCTCTCCTCAGGCCGTCCCACAGTGGCTCTGTGCTGCTACGGCTTCTGCATCGACCTGCTCATCCGGCTGGCAGGGGTCATGAACTTCACCTATGAGGTTCACCTGGTGGCTGATGGTAAATTTGGTACCCAAGAGCGGGTGAGTTTGGGCAGCCTGTGATGTCTCTTTGCCTTTATCATGTGTTGAAATACCCCCAGGCCCTTCTCTGGAGCAGGGGTGGGGTGGGAGGGCAGTGCAGGATGCCTGGCACGTGTGGGGATCCTGGCTAGTGGGGGAAGTGTGTCAGGGCAGGAGTCTGATCCTGTGTGGGCTCTCTGGCAGGTGAACAACAGCAACAAGAAGGAGTGGAACGGGATGATGGGGGAGCTGCTGAGCGGCCAAGCAGACATGATTGTGGCTCCCCTCACCATCAACAACGAGCGGGCTCAGTACATCGAGTTCTCCAAGCCCTTCAAGTACCAGGGACTCACCATCCTTGTGAAGAAGGTATGGGCTGGGGTGGGATGTTCTGTAGAACAGGGGAGGTGTCCCCTGCTCCCCACACTGCAGAGAAGTGCCATGCCCACACCATGCCTGGTTCCCCCTGCACTGCCCCTGCAAATCCCAACCTCCAGACTGGATTTAGTGCTGGGTCTTGTCTCTGCCACTCTGACCCCTCCTGTGTAGCTGAGCAGGAGGAGCTCAGAGCAGGGCAGGGGTCCCTGTGGGTCCAGCCAGACGGGCAGGGTGTGGGTGTGGTGGGTGCCAGCACTGTTCACCTCTCTCTGTGTGCCAGGAAATCCCCCGCAGCACCTTGGACTCATTCATGCAGCCCTTCCAGAGCACCCTCTGGCTGCTGGTGGGGCTGTCCGTGCACGTGGTGGCAGTGATGTTGTACCTCTTAGACCGATTCAGGTGAGTGCACTTCGGGCCACCCAAGAGCTGGAGGGGACAGGGAGGTGCTCCTGGGAACCATCTCCTGGGTCCCTGCAGTGTCTTGCTCAGGCACAGCCCTGAAGCCCTTTGGGGGACTCTCACATGAACTAACCCCACCTTCTCTGCCTCACCAGCCCTGGGCTGAGGTTCCTGTCCCTGCTGGCTGCCTGAGTTTCCTCTGAGATAGTTTCCTCTGGCCCTTCCTTGGCCCTATGACAGCTTCTCTGAAGGGCAGAGAACCTGTTCCCACCGCAGCCCTGTGCCCAGACACTTTGGTGGCTGATCTGCAGTGAACCCTCCGTGTTGCAGTGGGAGAGGCTCAAGCTGGTCAGGATCAGATCATCTTTCTGATCTGGAGAGAAGTGTGATGGGACTGGTACCGGAGTGAGATGTACAGATTGCCTATCAGCACTGGGGATGTGCAAGTCAGTAGGACATGATGAGGAAAAGCTGTTTGGGACACAGGCACAGTCTGTAGGATTGAATGATACAGGCCTGCATCAGGACACTTAGGAGGGCACAGTGGAGAGCCCCAGAAACCAGGCTAAGGGAAATGAGAGAAGTTCTTTTTCTTGTTTTCCAGCCCGTTTGGCCGGTTCAAAGTAAACAGTGAGGAGGAGGAGGAAGATGCCCTGACCCTCTCCTCAGCCATGTGGTTCTCCTGGGGGGTCCTGCTGAACTCTGGCATCGGAGAAGGTGAGTCACAGCACACAGTGGGACTGCTCTGCCCTGTAGCCCTGTCCCTGAGCTGAGAAGGCTGGAGGAGAAGCCTCTCACTGATGAGGCTGATGCCCTTTGGGGACATCATTCCCTGGAGCAGACTGGTAGAAGATTGGTAATGCTGAGTGTGACACACTTGTGGCACTTGTGAGGGCCATCCTTCCACCCCCAGCATCAGTGGGGAAAACAGGTCTGTCTTTGCTGTGTAGCCTGCCCAGAGTTACCCACCCACTAAGGATGGGACACAGCATGCCCTGGAAGGAGCTGGGTTTCTCTTGGTTTGGGCAATGCAGGAGCTCCTTGCACAGCTGTTGGCAGAGCAGATAGATGGTGCATGTCTGCAGCTGCCGTTGGTCTCACACAGACTGATGTGTCTTTGATGACCAAGCCAAACTCTTGTCATACCAGTCTGATCTCTCATCTCTCCCCCCAGGTGCTCCCCGGAGTTTCTCTGCCCGTATTCTTGGCATGGTGTGGGCTGGCTTTGCTATGATCATTGTGGCTTCATACACTGCCAACCTGGCAGCCTTCCTGGTGTTAGACCGACCTGAGGAGAGAATCACAGGCATCAATGACCCCCGGGTAATATCCTTCACTTGCTTTCCCCTTCCCTGCCCACTTCTGGGCCTATAATGTGGCTTGTAGTTCCCAGAGCCCCGATTTACCATGGCTGGGATCTGTGCCGGGGGGGCAAAACCAAGCTCTACATGGGCTGATCCTGGTGGGTCTGAGCCCCTGCACTGGGTGGGAATGGACAGACATGGGGAGGGATCAGCAGGAAAAAGCTTGTCCAGAATAGCCCCTATGCAGTCAAACTGCCTGCCAGTTCCTGGAGAGCCTCCACTAACAAACGAGGAAACAATTAATTATGGATGACTTATAACTAATGAAATTGTCCCTGCGGTGCAGTCAATACTCTCCACATGCCTCAAATCCATTTCCTGCTCTGGCAAGGACACAGCCACAGCTTATCAGCCCCAGCACGCAGGAATGTGCCCTGCAGCAGCACCGACCCACAGTGTCCTACACCCTGCTGCATCCTCTGCCCACAGCACTGCCAGCCCCATGGCACCCACAGCCTCCTGCACCCTCAGTGCCACAGTGTTCCTGTCCCACATTGTCCCCTGCTCCCCCACCACGGTCCCAGAGCATCCACTGCCCTGTGGCATCCTCTGAGGAGATCAAGGTCTTCTCTAGGAAACAGGTCTCTGAAGGAGGTGGGAAATTAGGAAACATGGCCTTGGGGTGAGTCAGTTTTGCTGATGAAGGACAGAAAAAACAGGAGCTCTGTCACAGAATCACAGAATATTCTGAGTTGGGAGGGACCCACAAGGATCATCGAGTCCACCTTTTCAGTGAATGACCCATATGGGAATCAAACCCACAACTTCGGTGTTAGCAGCACCGTGACCTACCCAGCTGAGCTGATCTCAGGGTCTGTCCTTGCCTTTCAGCTGCGCAACCCCTCTGATAAGTTCATCTACGCCACGGTGAAGCAGAGCTCCGTGGACATCTACTTCCGACGGCAGGTGGAGCTGAGCACCATGTACCGGCACATGGAGAAGCACAACTATGAGAGCGCTGCCGAAGCCATCCAGGCAGTGAGGGACAAGTGAGTGGGGCCAGCACCTTGTCTGGCCGTGCTGGGAGGCATTTCAGGGAGCTGCAGTTGGGTGGAGCAAGCAGGGCCAAGGGAGCTGCAGTCACAGCGTGTCTTGATGGGACCTCCCAGTTGGTGCTGAGTGGGATCTTCCCAGATTTAGTGCGTTTCAGGTCCCTGGGTGGAGAGCACAAGGTCTATGTGGGGAGCAGCACAGTGGGAGCCCTGGCCCTTCTGGTCTCTGCTCTTCCTTCTGTGCAAGTCTGGGTGGCTTCAGTGCTTAAATTAGGGCTGGGAGCACCCTCGCTGCTCCCAGAGTGGCTGCAGACAACTGGGCTGTCCCCCTCACCTGTCTGTCCTCTCTCACCATCCAGCAAGCTCCACGCCTTCATCTGGGACTCGGCCGTGCTGGAGTTTGAAGCCTCCCAGAAGTGTGACCTGGTGACGACGGGGGAGCTTTTCTTCCGCTCTGGCTTCGGGATTGGGATGCGCAAGGACAGCCCGTGGAAGCAGAACGTCTCCCTGGCCATCCTCAAGTCTGTACACAGCTCGTGGTGTGGGGCTTGCCCCAAATGCTGCATGTGCTTGCACACAAGTCGCCTCATGTCAGGCACTGCTCCCCCATCCTCTGCAGGGACGGGAGTGCTGGGGGCTGCCATGTCCCTCCTGACAAAGGGGACATGGAAAGACCAGAATGGGCACCCACAGTCTCAGCTCCAGCTTGCAGGGCTGGGGAAGCAGCAGGGACGTGGTGGGAGGGCAGAGCAGAGCAGGGCAGGGATCAGGAGCCAGGCTTGTCCAGGAATGTAGGGAAAGCTGGCAGAGAAAGCTGGGGCCACCCGGCACCAGGTCCCGGTGAGCAGGGTGTGGGTGCTGCCATCTCCCCACTTCTCCTTGTGGGCTCAGCCAGCCTGACAGCATGGCACTGCCCTGGCTTGGTCTGCCAGGGGTTTTTCTTTCAACTCTGACTATTCCTGTTAGGCGGGGATATGTCAGGACCCCTGCTGAGTCCAACTAGGGCTTTTACACCAGCCTGCAGTGTGGGGTGTCACAAGTCAACCTGGTATTATGGGTAAAAAGGGATTGCCTTGTGTTACTTTGGAAATGCTACACTTGTGTGAGACAGAGGAATGTGGCAATGGAGGAACAGGCAGCTGGGAAGCAGCAGGTGGAGAGAGACAGACATGTGAGATTCTTTTTAGGAGAGACAGGATCAGGAGCCACCACAGTCCTGCCCAACATGTAGAGATGAAAGACCTGAGAAAGAGAATGGGCAGGATGTGGAAGACACAGGCAGGACCAAGACACAGGGCAATATAGGGAGCCATGGGACCCCATCTGTGGGGTGATCTTAGCATGGGGATGGGTGGCAGATGGGATTTGGGTAAACAATGTGAGAAGCCTGAAGAGGCCACAGGGGTCCTCAGTGCCCTCCTGGGAGAGGATAGGGAAGCCCAAGGCTAGAGGTGGCCCAGGAAGGTAGTGGGGATGTGCCAGGAACAACAGGGAGGAAAGTGCAGGGGGCCTGTGGTGAGATGTGTGCTCTGTGCCCCATCTTCATCCCCACAAGCTATTCAGGCAGAAACAGGCACTGTGGGGACACAGTTTAGTTTGTTTCCTACCAAGCTGTGACACCAAGCTGCTGGGGAGTCCCAGTCCTCACCGTGCACCTCGGGGAGCTGCCAGGCAGCAGTGCCCTGACCTAGAGGGTGCTAGGCATCCCCAGAAAGGATTGGGGTCAGTGTTACCTGAGCTCCCAGGTGGCCCTGGCAGGTGGGGGGAACATGCAGAAGGGAACTGGGAGACATGGTTCATGTCCACTCCCTTCAGCCTCTCCCTAAATGCTCTCTGAGCACTGCCTACACCTACCAGCTCCATCCTTTCCATGGGAACACACCTTACATGTGGCTTACATGTGGCTCTTTTAGCAAGAGCTGGCTGCCCCGCAGCTGCCCCAGGGGCACTGGCACTAGGAAACTGTGGGTCCTGCTCGCACCCACTGCCCTGTGCACCAGTTGTGTGCAGGGGGGTGTGAGCACATGCAGTACTGGCAACCCCTGCAGACAGGCCATACACACACTCTCCGTGTAAAGATCACACGTGTGTGCTCACACGCAGCCAGCACATCCTTGGTCTCTATTGTTTGTGGGCTGCAGGCAAGTGCAGATTCCTAATTCAGGGGGCACAAAAGCACAACGTGTGCCCCAGCTGCCTGTTGCTGGTTCCCAGTGACTACTCTGTCCTGTCTCCTTGTGCTTCCAGGTCCCACGAGAACGGCTTCATGGAGGACTTGGACAAGACTTGGGTGAGGTATCAAGAGTGTGATTCCCGTAGCAATGCCCCAGCAACACTCACCTTTGAGAATATGGCAGGTTTGTTCTGCAAACCTCTTTCTTCCCCCTCGCTGGGTAGCCTGCTTTCACTCAAGACACTTTCCTCTCCAGGGCTTCCTCTTGGGCCAGATCTCTGCTTCGTCTGGGTCTGTGCTTCCCTACTGCTGGGAGGCTGCTGTGGTGGGCTCCAACTCCACCGTGTTTGAAAAGGTTCCACAAAGCTTACCCCACATTCCCTGGGTGCCCTTCTCACCGGCGGGGCTGCCCTGCTGTGAGCACTGCTCCCCTCCCTCTGCTCTGGCCAAACTGTGGCTGTCACTGTGGAATCAGAGCTATCCCAAGGCAGAGAGAGGGGAGCAGTGCCTTGGGAAGGGCAAGAGGGGACCCTGCTACAAGAGGGGGCTGGAGGCGAGAGATAGCCCCCCAGCCCTGAGAGCCCTGGGCAGGGGCAGGATGAGGATAATGGATACAGAGGGGTTTTTATCTTGGTCCCCCTTTGCAAAGGCTGTGAGAACCCCCAGACAGGGTCTCCTTTGCAGCAATGTGGTGCTGCGGGTCCTACACCCAGCCAGTGCAGTGATGAGGGATGAGGGGTGTCCGATGGGACCCCGTCCTCGCCAGCACCACCAGCCAGGGCAGAGGGGGCATTTTGCTCTGTCTCCCCAAGACACCACTCCAAAGCCCCGAGGGTTGCAGATGTCTGAGGACAGCACTCTGTGCATGGCTGTATTTCTCAATAAGACAAACTGAAGTACCAGAGCCGGGTTATGGTGCAAGTGACCCCACAGTCCCATGTGGGGGTCTGCCCAGGGGCTTGGTGCAGCAGCCAGCACGCAGCACTGGTGCAGCACAGTGCCCTGCCCAACCAGAGCTTGCATAGACATCCAGCACCCCACCACCTCTCTGCCCACCACTGCAGTGCCCACCCTGCAGCACCTGCTGTGTTCCCCTCCCCAGGCCCTCCAGGACTAGGGGGGATGGTGGGGGGACCCTGGGTTGGCAAATGCTCCTGTTGCTGGGCATGATACAGAAGAAATGAAGTGTCATGTTGCAATTTCTATTGCCCCCTGTAACTTTCCTGCTTATTTCAGGTGTGTTTATGCTGGTGGCTGGAGGTATTGTTGCCGGGATATTTTTAATATTCATAGAAATAGCTTACAAAAGGCATAAGGACGCGCGGAGGAAGCAGATGCAGCTGGCGTTTGCGGCCGTTAATGTGTGGAGGAAAAACCTGCAGGTAGGACAAACCGTTTTTAGAGCAAATCTCCACCAGGTGCGTTTTCCATTCCTTCACCAAAATCAGTGAATGCAGAGCTGTGGATTAGCATGGGGCCCTCTGTCCCCCACCCCACACCCCAGAAACTCCAGCTGGGCATTACTGGGTGCCCAGCAGGCTGTAGTGCCTCGTCCCTGGGAGCTGCCCGTGGCCCATGCTGTCTCTCCCAGGAGGTGTTGTGCACAGCTCCAACTGGGACAGATAGTGGGGCCCAAATGCCCCCAGTGGAGCTTGGGATGGGGACTTTGCTCTGCTGAGGAACATGTGCTGGAGCCTTGGCTCCAGCCAAGCAGGCAGTGCCAGTGTGGCTCCCTTTGCAGGTATCTGCCCTGCTGTCCAGCTCTGGCCATGTTCACCAGCAGATGGGGGGAGGTCAATCCGCTGCCACTGAGCATCCCTGGCCGGTGCTCAGATGGAGAAATGCTCCAGGGATAATTTCCATCACCTACCCTTCCCTGCTTGCTCCCCAACAGCGCGGTAGCCCTTGTCACACCCAGGACCGACTCCAAAATGAGGCGGTGCGTGCTCTTGTCCTTTGGAGACAAGGACATTTCCCCACACGGGAGCCAGCAATGCCAGTCCCTGTCAGTGCCAAGGCTCCCTCGGGCCTCTCCCATTGTTCTTCCCGACTTCTCCTGTCCCTGGAACCCCTCTGTGCCACTCAGGCAGGGAAGCCCAGGAGTGTCAGAGCTGTCTGGCAGTGACACTGAGCCATGGACATGTCTGTGGGCCACCAGCCTCACACTTCCCTTACCCTGCTGCTTTTGGGGCTGAGCCCCACAGTGCCCTTGAACCCCAGTTTAGAGCAGCTGGAGGCTCTGTCTGAATTGCCCAGGCTGGTTTTTTCCCTTGGGGAAGCACCAGCGTTCAAAGAGCAAGAGATCCTTTAGGCGACTAAAGGAGACTGCGCTCGGAGCAGAGCCAGCGAAGGAAAGAGAGAGAACGAGGCTCAGGGAGCCTGAAAGAAGCCCGGAGCGGTGGCCCTGGGGGAGCAGCGCTGGCTGGGGTGTTTTGGGGGGGGCTGCCTGGGTGGAAGTGACCTGCCCGAGAGCAGCAAGGGGAGCACGAGGCTGGGCTGCTGTATCCTGAGAGCTCGCTGAGTTCAGTTCGCTGATAAGAGTCTCGGAAAAACCATTTCTCAACTTTTTTTTTCCTTTTTTATCTTTTTTTTTCCTTTGCTTCCAAAAAGCAGCAGCACCGAGGGGGTTAAGGCTGCTGGGACAGAGCACACTAGTCGCACTGCCATTTTTCACTTGCCAACCTTCTAGAAAATACTGCACTGGGTCCTTGGGCAGAGTCTGTGGGACTGTGAGCAAAGCATGCTGCCCTGTGGGGGTAAACAGCCTCATGGTAAAGAGCCGTTTGACATTGTAAGACTTTTCCACAGGAGGAAACGTCAGAGCACTAGTATCTGGTACATTGCTAGAAGGTAGGCAAGTGGAAAGATTTATTTGTTAACAAAAACAAACAAAAATAATGTTTTTTGGGATCACAGTTTTGCCATGGCTATTTCCTGAGATGCCATGGAAGAAAAAGACATTTCATTCCATTCATCTTGCTTTCCTTTCCGTTTGTGCATGTCCGCAAAAGAGAGAACTGAGAAGGAGGAGCAAATGTATCCCCGAGCATGCTCTACGCACCAGCGGGATACATTTTGGTTACCCCCGTGCGGTAGCAGAGCCAGACCTGGTCACTCCGTCCCCCGTCGGAAAGGTCACACTCATTGGCACGAAAGCAATTGGGGAGGAATCGTTGTCAGCGCCCGCCGCCGAGCGCGGCCGGTCCCCTCGGCTCGCTGCCCCCGCACCATGGCGGCTGGTGCTCCCAGCCTGCGCCAACCAGGTCCGACTCGCTAACTCCAACGCCTACATTTTTCAGTTCTGTTTCTCTTTGAGTTCATCCCGACCCCGACGACATCATAGCACTAACGCTTTGCCTCCTCCCTTTCTTTTCCTTATCTTTTTTTTTAATTTTCTTTTTCTTCCAGTTTCTTTTTTTTTTTCTTTTTTTTTAGCCTGTTTTACTTTGGAAAAAAAAAAAACAACCACCAAACCACCACCAGCAACCACGTTCGGCTTTGCACAACTGCGTCATTTGAATTTTTGAACACTTTTTTTTTACAGAATATTCATACAATGACTTCTCTTTCAATGCAGTCCTCTCTCTCTCTTCTGGCACTAGGATTCAGCCTCAGAAAAGGCCCTGAGCAATTTTTTTTTTGTAGTGGTAGGTGCAGCGTCTCACATCTCTGTCCAGCCAGGCTAGCGGTGGAAGCGAGGGGCAGGGCGCCAGGCAGAGCATCCCCAGGAAGCGAGGTCAGCTGTGCCGGCCTGGCCACAGACACCCAGGAGAGCAGGGATACTCCCCAGAGGGGTTTCCAGCACTCCAGATGTGAGGCCGGCCCCTGGCAGCTGTATCAGTGTGGTGGCTGTGCCGTAGCCATGGGTCACGGAGGCCCTTGGAGGACTGGGAGTGACAGAACACCTCCAGTAGCTTTCTCACCTAAATGAAAGCCATGACATGGGGCAGTATTCAAATAGATTTAGAGTTTCCAACAACACACTAGAGATCTAATTACTTATACATATTCATTTTAGGATAGAAAAAGTGGTAGAGCAGAACCTGACCCTAAAAAGAAAGCCACTTTTAGGTCCATCACCTCCACCCTGGCCTCCAGCTTCAAGAGACGTAGGTCCTCCAAGGATACGGTAAGAGGAAGAAGAACAATTCTGCCCTCTCTCTTTCTCTCTCTTTCTCTCTTCTGCCATCCCATTGACTGCCACACACCCATCCCGAAGCTGCCAGTGTACATGCATAGCTCATGTTCGTCACCAGTCAGTCAGTCAGTCAGTGAGTCAGTCATCCCGTGTTCCTGAAAGGATGCTGGGATCCTGGAGGGCAGGCAGGAGGTGGCTTGGAGTCCTGTGATGAGTTGGGAGATGCAACTGAGTTTTTGTTTTGTTTTTTTGTTTTCTTTCTGCCTGGATGATTTCCGATGTTCCTCTCTGTGCTTCGCTCACCTTACTGGTGCTGACCTCTTGAAACGGATGACATTTATTTTTTCCTTTTTTTTTTTCTGTTCCTGAGTGTTTCTGTACCTGTTTGTCATTGTATGCCTAAAAACAATCACCCCAGTTTAATTTGGGCACCGTGCCACCTCACCGAGAGCCATGCGTGTCACATTCTCTACATGTGATTTTTGTTTGTGACGATTAGCATTCGGGATGTAGTCCTGGGCACAGGAGTGACAGCTGTCTCTGGTTATTGTCAGCAGTAATGCAGCTCTAGAAAAGAGATACAAAGGCTTGAAAGTGGAGGTTGTTAAAGACCCAGCCTTGGTTCAAACTTGTGCTTTCCACTGCTGTCATGTAACCAGAGAAAATTTCCGAATTGCTGCCTCTAAAGCCAGCTGTTTCCAAATGTGCAAATGTGTCTGCTCGTGCTGGAGCTTCAGACACTTCAGCGTCAGGTTGGGCTGTTGGTCTGTCGGACTGAGCCATGTCCCTCTGCATGTCACCGTCTGTTGTATGACACTCTGCACTGTGGCTACTCTGTTGTCTCGTGTGGCAGCGCCCGCTGCGTGTTGCTGCCCGACCTCCTGGCGCAATGGGCTGACCAAAACCACCTCCCCGGGGAGACCGGCGGGTTTCTGCCCAGGGTTGCCCAGAGCAAGCTCCCCGCCAGGCTGCCCGAGGCGCGGCGGGGACGGGGGGACGGTGGCAGGGCAGGGAGATGTGGCCCCCCATGATGGGGTGGCCCGTCCCCAGCCGCAGGCTTGGGGCGCCCCGGGGAGCAGCATGTGATACCGCAGGGGGTCTCGGGGCCACGGCTCTGTGTGCGGAACGGAGGAGGCTGCCTTTGACACCAGCGCAGGCTCTGTGCCAAGAAACTCCTGGAGCACCCCTGGGACGCGTCCCTGGGGACAGCTGAGCCCTCGGCCGGGCTCAACTGCCACCACCTCACACAAAGTGCTCCTCTCACTGTCACCTCAAAGCCTGGAAGTCATGAGGGGGGACCCACATTCTTCCCACCCATCCTCTGTCCCCATGGGGAAGACAGGCATCCCTGTCCCCTCCTGCACTGCCTCCATGCTCCCCAGGTGGCACCTTGTCCAAGTGATGCTCCCATATCTGGGATGCCCTCTTCCCACTGCTGCACCCCCTGAGCAGCTCTGCAGGGAGGTCAGAGGTTGTGTCTTGGTGGCCTGAATCACAACCAGGGGAGAGAAGACAGAGATGGGGTGGGTGGTGCAGGGGAGAGAAGATGGGAAGAGTGAGGATGAGGAAGAGAAGTGGGATGCACGGAGAAAAAAAGGGAGAAAAAATTGCAGAAATATCTGCATGTCCTGGGTAGATTCCCTTGTTTTGATGTGTTTGAACTACTCCATGATTAGGAAACCAAGGGATCCGGCCCTGGGAAAGCAGAAGCCTGATGGTGCCCTCGGCACCTGGGGGGACCAGTTCCATTGGTGGGCTCATTGAGAGGAGCAGAACCCAAGAACAATGGGGCAGCTGGCGTGTGGCATCCCTGGTACCTCCCATACCACTCCTTCTTCAGGGAAGCATCCTGAACCTGATCCTGTTCCACAGTGTGGCATCCACCCTACACCACAGCAGCCCACAGCCCTCTCTGCCCCACAGCAGGAGCACCCCATGCCCTGAGTTGACCAGATCCAGGGCTCACCTGCACCAGAGGTCCTATGGGTGAGCTGTGGAACTGTTCTCCCCCTTCCCACGCCTGGTGGGGATCAGCCTGAGGCTCCTTGTGCTTTGGGTCCTGTCCATGCTCTTCCTGGCGCATTGCTCACAGGCCAGTTGCGGAGGGAGATGACCCCACTCATCCCAGAAGATGGTCACCACTTTGGGGGCAGCTGCATCTGCAAGGCAGTTATGGTCAACTGTTCCCCACTGCCCAGAAGCCTGTCACAGTCCTCTGCCTGCCATGGGGTGATGTGGCCAGGGTCCCAGGACACGTTCCCCAGGGAACTGGGCTAGCTGGGTCAAGAAAAAGCTACTGGGGTCAACATCCAAGCCAACGTGGCCAACTTGGAGTCTAGCAGCTCTGAGGTCCGGCTATTGCAGGAGGTCCACGGTGGAGCAAGCTTTGTGGGGATGTTGGGCAGACTTGCTGGTTGCTCTGCGGGATGAGTGACCAGCAGGAGGGTGCTGCCACCAGCTCATGTCACAGCCTGCGCTTGGTGCCCTCCACTTCTGTGCAGCAGCCCTGGCCCAGAGACCCCAATGCCCTCCTGCTGTGGAAGGCCCCATGAGTACGTAGCATGCTGGGGCACGTTGCCTGGGGTCCTTGTAAAGACGAGAAAGCAGCGAGGTGCTCTGTTTCATGATGTTCATCAGAGCCACAGGCCCACACCAGGTCTTAGATGGGCGAGGCTGGAGAGCCCATGGGGCTGGAAGGCCAGGCTGACCCCAGCCCCACAGGCTCTCCTGGCTAGCAAGCGAAAGACGCAGACCTGGTGGCCTTGCTTCTTTCCTTTTCGTTGTCGGGAGTTTTAAAAATGGATTCTGCTCTGCAGCCCTGCAGAATGGTCCCTCAGGAGTGCCAGAGAGACAGGCTGGCACCATGGAGCCAAGACAGCCCTGGGAAGCTACCACCCCACTCTGAACGTCCTAGCGCCCACCATCACCCGAGCTGCACAGCCTCTCCGCGGCACATCATCCCCACCGCCCCAGGAGGAGATGCATGTGTTCCCCATAGGCAGCTCCTGCAACTCGAATAGCACTCGCAGAGCTGACGTACTGCCATCCATCGCAGCCACCCACGATACTGCAACCCCACAGACGCCATGTGAGACGCATAAACCACACAGACACCCTCCGAGCCGGCACATTTCCTACAGACACGTAACGAGGTGCACAGGTCCCTTAGCCGCCCCCCCAGCCATCGGCAGCCCCCGCAGAGACACATTGCCAGCCCGTGGGCACCCCCAGGCACGGCACGACACACGTCCCACATCACCGCCAAGGGCGCGGCGCTGCCGGCGGTGCTGCCCTGCAGCCGTGGGGATGGTGCCAGAGCTGGTCGAGAGCCGAGGGGCTTCATGGAAAAGGTCACCTTCTCAGTGAAGGATCAGCTGTCCCAAAGCCAAATGCTTGTTGGCTGAAAAAAAGAGCCTAGTTTTTTTTGGCCCAAAAGAACCAAAAGTAGGTCAAAGACAACTTTTTTTTTTTTTAAGGGAAGTTGATATTTTCTACAGCAAGATTGCATTTAGCTGGAATTCTAATTTTTAATTGAAAAAAAAAAACAAACAAACAACAACAAACCAAAATTCTTCCAGAAAACTCTTCCACTAGCCAGGGACTACCATATGAGCCCAGTTAGGTTGAAGTCATTTTTAAAGACATTAAGTTCTTGTCTATATTTTCTTCCTGGTTGTCATTTAAAGTTTTTGGTGCCTTCACTTCACTTCCATACCTTAACATGTTTGAGTCTCTTCTACGGTTAATATTGATTAATTTCTTGGCTTTATGATGTTTGGTTTGGGGATTATTGCACCATCCCTGTAACATAATTTACCCTAAATTACTGATATGTGCTTCTAGCATTAGTCCTACTTTAACATAATTTCAATATGATCGTTTTCTTGCTTTTTTTTTGCTTTTCTTTTTTTCTTTTAATTTTAATTTTTATTATTAAAAATTGCATGCATGAACAAAAAAAAACAGTAAATGAGAATGTTACCCTGTGACAACTCTGTGATTGGAGGAGATATGCTTTCAAATCAAAAGCCATGCTCTTGTATTTTAATTTTTCTGGCCAGATTCCCCATTTCACTTGGTTATTTTAGCGTTGCCCACCCCCAGAGCTGTGCAGAGAGGCCAGAAGGCCCCAGCCTGCCCTGCTAGACCTCCAAGCCTTCCACCACAGACGCCACACGTACACGTGCACCCAGGCACACGACTCACACATGCACACAACGCTTTTCCTCCCCGCTTGCATCAGGCAGGATATTCAACAAAGGACCTTTCTTCTACCCATTCATTTTTGTATCTCAAGTTCCTCCTTCTTCTCCACCAGTGACTCACCCGGCCTCTCCCCTTTCCCAGTCGCCTCTCCTCCCTGCGGGAGTCAAGCCCCATCCCATGAGCACACACCTCTCAGCAGTTTTGCTATGGGAACGGCGCATTTAGCCTGGAATTCAAATTTTTCACAAGGAGGGGGTGGCTGCACCCATTTTTGGGAGAGGGGTGTTTTTTGGTGGGCTGATGAGCAGCCACCAAAAGCTCCCCCCAGGGCAGCAGAGCGGTGTCAGGATGGCCCCGGCCATTCTCCGTGCCAACAGGTGATGGCCGAGGTGTTGCCCCTTAGTGAAGCAAGGCCACGGTGAGGAATTCCCAGAGGCTCCATGGGAATATTAGCTAGTCCCCTAGGTGACAGGATGATCCTGTGAGATGTTCCCTGGGCGTCAGTTCATTCCCAGCATGTGTACCGGAGAGATGGGAGCACACGGCTCCTGGCCCTGGCCCAACTGCTCCCCACCAAGAGGTCCTGGTAAAGCACAAGGCTGGATTGGGCAGCCCCACACGGGGGGACTCCCAGACTTCCCCGTGGCAGGAGGCAGGGTGTAGAGCACACAGGGTAGCCACAGTGCCAGAGCTGCCAGCAGCACCGCAGAGGCCACCGGAGACAGCACCGACCAACGCGGGGCAGGTCACGTCCCATCTCTGAGGAGCCCCCCGGGAGCCCCTCAAAACGTCAGCCCTCCTGTGCAGGGTGGTGCAAGGGCTGGGAAAATGTCACTGGAGAGGGCCTACACTGCAGCACACGAGACCTACTGAGACCCTTTCCTGCCCTGGCACCGGTTGAGGATCCCAGACTGCAGCACAGGATGCTCCTGCCACCTGCTCTCACAGCAGGGCTGCATAGGGCTACCAGTCCAGGCTTTGGAGTTAGAAGAGTGGAACTGGGAGAGGAAGGGAGTACGAAAGGAGGAAGGGAAGAAATAAATTCCCAGTTGCAAATTCCTGCCCAGGGAGGAAGGACTTTTTTTTCTTGCCCATTGGTGGATATTTCTTTCTTGCCCCTTGCTTGCTAACGGGACTGCAGTGGGGGAGGTCTCTCTCAGGGAGTGTTTGCTGAGCCCCCCCATCCACAAGGAGCACAGAACACCAAATCCAGGCCACATCCCCACCACAGGCTGTATTTTCACATTAGCAATCAATGCCACACTTTATCACAAGCCAACCACACCACACATCTCACCTGCATGAAAGGATAGTCACAGCAGAGTCATTCAAGCAAGGAGGTGAAACGCCCTGGCCTCAAAGCACAGCTTGATCTGGCATCAGAAAGGTGCCAAAACCCAGCCAGACCCTCCAAACACAGGTTCAGCTGTGGGCTGGGCTGATGAGTCACAGGCTTTGTTTTGTAGCCCTCCCAGAGTGGAGAGGGGCTCGCTCAGAGGGCAACGTGGCAGCCACGCTCCGCAGAAGCTGCGCCACGCTTCTGGGTGTCCCCTCTGCCCAGCTCTAGGGTGCTTGGAGAGTGTCTGCAACGACCTCTGCACAATTGCATTGGGAAGGGGACCTCAGCCAGCAGCAGCTCTCGGGGCGTTGCATCACCCCCAAGAGATATCCCGTAGGGACACATGGGATATAAGTACCAGTGGGGACAAGTGCCAGAACTGCCTAACACTTCTTTCTCCTTGTCTGTCTATTTGTGTGTTGCAGCAGTATCACCCCACCGACATCACTGGCCAGCTCAACCTCTCCGACCCCTCAGTCAGCACTGTGGTGTGACCTTCTCCCTGAGGGCCATCAGTCCTTGCCCAACACAGTAGGAAGGCATAGCCAGGACTGCCTTTCAAGGGACACTGATGGGTTCTTCCGGGTGAGATGGGAGGAAAGCATCCTTCATCCATACACAGTGACTCCATTGTATATCTCCCTCCCTTCCCAGGCCTGCTGCCATGCTCGTGCCCCAGAACGCACAGCAGAACCAGGACACGGTTTGGACTCCACTGTACAGAGAATATTGCTTCCAAGCAGAGTCACAATAATCAGGATTGCCACTGACTGGCTCCATGCAAGGGGAAAGGACTGCGGAAGGCACATGGTGCCTGCTCTACCATGGTAGTGGGGAACATCTGGTGCCAGACCACAAACACGTGCTCCACTGTGCAGGCTGCAGGCTTCTCAGCACACACAGCCCCTCAAACGTGTGCTCCATGTTTCCCACCACCTGGAGGGCTCCAGTGCAACGTGCTGGTCCTGAGTAGCTGGAGCAGCCGGTGTGGTTCGGCAGGTTGGGCACATGTTCCTGTTGTACCAAGTGACCCCCACGTCTGCTGCAGGGGCTGGAAGATGTGTGCTCTGCTCCCTGCAGGGTATGACCCCCTGCTCCTCCCTCCCATCAGCTCCGGGCTGTGACTTGGCTCCTGTCCATGGTCTGTTTGCAGCAGGAGCACTCCCACCCTGCAGCCCATGCTCCTGTGCTAATTGTGGTACCCTGGAGCCCACAGCGTGCTACCAGCCAAGGTCCCAGCTCCCCACCTCTCCTGCACAGAAGACACCCCCAGGACCTGGCCATGGCCAGCATGTAGCACTCACCCAGTGGCTCTCCTAGCCAGGAATTCTCCATGAGGAATGGCTCTGGATGGTTGCACTGACCTTTACCCAAGCTCCACACTGCCTCAGCACCAGCAATGCAAGGAGAGATGCTGCTGGCTGGTCGTGGCTTGCTGCCTGCAGTGTCGGGGCACACGGGCGGCACTGCCAGCTTCCCTGCCACCCTCACCTGTAGTTCCAGTTTGCCAGTAGCGCCCATGGCAGCCTTGAAGCCTCAACTCATGGCGCTGCATCTGCCTGAACCTGGACACATGGAAACCAGATCGCAGTTCAGGAGAAGGAAACCAAACAAGCCAGGCTGATGCCATTCCTTCCTGCACCTTCCTCCCCTCAAGCCTACCCCCATGTGCCAGCACCTCTGAGCACCCTCACTGTGGGCTCTGGGAGTGGGTGCAGAGACACCAGCACTGGGGGAAGCATCTGGTACCAGCCAGGCTGGTGATGAGCAGCTACTGCACATGCACAGGCAGCATCATATCCCGTCTCCTGCAAACATGGAAAACCCACCTGCAATGTGGTACCAAGCCCCAGTGGCATGAACTGCCTTCTCCCTGCCCCAGCCAAGCAGACAGGGCTTCCCCCAGGGGCAAGCAGCCCCACAGGCAGGATTTTCAAACGGCAGCTGAGGTCTGTGAGCATCGTCCCACTGACTGCTGTGGCTCCATCTAGTTCATCTAGCTCCAGCTGAGAAATTGGACCCATTCTACTTTGTACGTCAATGTAACATTAATACCGAGTTTTTGCAAGAGCTCAGTAAAGTCTAGACTGGATCATGAAGTGGTTTATTCTGATGCCGTGTGCCTCTTTCTGTCTCTGGCTTCTGGCAAAGCTGGCAGGGAGCCCTGTGCTGAGTCAGAACCTCACCCAGCCCCACTGCAGGGTCTGCAAACAGTGGAGGGTGGAGGGACGGGAAGGGTTGGAGAAACCAGCAGGGAGAAAGGCCAGGAGCTGCAGAGGAGATGAGGGAAGGACTGGCATCATTCTGGGATACTCAGCTGATAGACAGCCTGAACAGCCACAGGAGGGGGACAGGCCTTGCAGTGAGGGGATGGGGACAGTCCGGAGCTGTCCAAACACCAGCAGCATGGCAGCTGGTTCTGGCCCACCTTCATTCCAGGGAAAATGGTCCACTGCCACTGCTGGGTTTCCCATCTCCTGGGAGCCAGTGTGGGGCACTGCCAGTGGGACCAGCCTTTGGGAACAGAGGATGGGCCACAGGGGTGAAGCATCTGGGGGAGTCCTCACACATCAGCCCATCCATAGGGAGGCTCCACTGAGGGATTTGCAAAACAGAAAGGCAGCTCCCTTGGGCTGAACCGAAGCAACATCACCCACTGACAGAATAGTCCCCATGTGCCAAGACCACCAGCCCAGCCTTCATGGTGGGCTCAGCCTCAGGGTGGTCTGGGAGGAGGAGCAGGGCTCTGGGGGCTGAGCAGGATGACAAGTGAGGTCTTAGCTCCAAATGGGAAGCCCAAGCCTACTTGGGAAGGATTGAATGCTGTCACTAGAGAGGATCTGGGAGAACTGGGATTGCTCCTGGGACAGGCAAGAGGATGATCCCGGCAGAGGTCCTGCAGAGCTCCCAGGTGCAGGGCTGGTGGCAGTGGAGGAGCTGCTCCCTGCAGCCCCCACACACCACGACAGAGAAGGAAGTAGGAATCTGGCACTGTGGCAGCTCGCTGGGTTGGTTTCTCTCTTGAAAATAAAAATGGGAGCAAGCCACAGCTAAGGTGACATTTGGTTTATTCTCTGTGTGATTTACTGAACCCTTGCCAAGAGTTTGCTGAGGGATGCGCTGACCTGCCCCATCCCTGGCTGGTCCACAGCTCCTGCTGAGATCGAGTGAACAAGGGGAGCTGGTGGTCACAGCCATCTCACTGTGGCTCTGACCATCTTGCAGTCGGTACGAGATCAGGCAAAAAGGGCTGTTTCTTCTCCATGAAAGATTGTTTTTGTCACCCAGCTTGTGCTTTCCTCTGGAGCACAGCTCCAGATCCTTCCAGGCCATCTCCCAGTACGAACAATAGACATGTCCAGAAGCATTTCCACAGGGAAGGGCAGGAGGTGGCAGGGCAGGGAGGTGCAGGGGCAGCCCCAGCCCTGTTTTGTGGGTGATGGGAGGTGAGGCAGCATTAAGGGCTGCATCTCTGTGCTGTAAACCCACATGGGCTTGTTTGCCCCCACTCCCATCACTGAGCTACCTTGGCCTGCTTTAGCCTAGGGAAAGCTATTGGGGGAGGAACTACTGCAAGCCTCACCCATCCTTTGGCAGTTCCTCTGCTGAACCATATCAGTGGAAGCTCAAGGCTCTTCCCAACCTTCACTGTAACCTTCAGTCTTACTCTAGATCTTGGTTGTTGGTTGAGCCTTCTCAGCTCCAGCATTCCTGACTCAATGAAAAAAACCTATCAAAAGAAACATTTTGCAACCAGCCCTGTCCTTGGCCAGCACATGAGGGCTCTGGGGTAGTCTGAAAGCCTCATGAAGGCTCTGGAATGCTCCAAAAACACACAGAGATTTTCAGGTGCACCAAAAGGCACATGGTGAGCTCTGCAGTTCACCAAAAGGCAAACTAATGCCTGTCAGGACACAGAAGCCAAACAAATGGCACTTGGGTGCATGAAAAGCCAAGCCAAGGATTTTGGAAGGCATGGAAAGGTACCCTGAGACTGATGGGGTCATTGAAGGCAGACAGAGAGTGCTGGGGGCACCAAAAGACCCAAGGAGGGATTAAGAGCAAACTGAAAGGCACACAGAGGCTCCTGGGCTGCACCAAAAGGCAAATGGTGACTCCTGGGGTGCCTAGAGGAATACAAGTGTTCTGAGATGTGCACGGGGCTCCCAGGCTGCACCCCGAGGCACAGCGAGGCACGTGGTGCATCCTGAAAAGCACACTGAGGCCACTGTGCATCACAAGGGGCAGGACAGGGGGAGAAGGATCACCTGGACAACCCCAGGAACGGTCTGAGGGTGGTCTGGGGAAGCTCCCAAAACACTGAGAACATCTGCAGTCAGCCCATGCCCCGCAGGGTGCTGAGCTGCAGGCTGCTCTCCCAGCAGCAGGGCAGAGGGAGCTTGGAATTGTCCTGGGGACTCTGAGAAAAACCCAAGCAGTTCCAGGGACAGATCTTCCACTCACTGGTCTGCTGGGACATGTTTGCAACAGGTGGGTGCAGCCAGCTGGAGAAGGGTGTGGACCACAGCCTGCTCAGGGCTAAAGCCTGGCCATCCTGCCTCAGTGCACCCTGCAGATGCGGAGTCTCCTCCAGCAGTGGGAATCCCTGCGCAGGCTGTGGTAAAACACTACGACCGAGCCCATGAAGGTGCAGAAGAAGATGCTGGCAACGAAGGAGAACGGTCCAATGATGAAGAAGGTGATGTACTGTTCAGAGGACAGCGAGGTCTCCTGGCATTGCCTGAAGGACTCATCTCCAAAGGCCATGATCGGGTACTTGTTCAGCTGCTCTGGGACTCTGCAGAGGAGCAAACTCTTCTCTGGAAGAGAAAAGCAGTGCTGGTGGGCACACTGAGCATCCGGGAAAGGCAGGTGTCAGGGATAGGGGGATGGCAGTTCTGTATGGGACAGAGGGGACCAGGGCAGGAGGACAGGGGCCAGGCTGATCAAGATCACCCATGTTAGGGTACAAAGAAAGGGAGCTGTGGAGTTCAGGGATCATCTACGTCCTGATCCCCAGAGAGTGGGATGGACAGGGAGATGGGCATAGGAAAATGGGTTTGGGGCAGGATGGCAGATAGGGCAGACAAGGTGGAGGGACTGGTTCCCAGGAGACAAATGTAGGGAGCATTCAGCAGCCAGGCTTGAGATGTCACAGAATGTCCCAGCCAGCACAAGTGCAGATGCACATCCGAGTTGGAATCAATCAGGAAGGAGTGGCAGCTAAAGCTTGCTGGCAGAAGTGTCTTTCACTGGAGCTCATGGGGAAAGAAATGTAGGATCAGAACCAGGTTCATGAAGGCTTTGGGGAAGGGGCTGAAAGCACTGCATCCTAGCTGGGTCAGCAGCCTGACAGACAGGCTCCTCTTGCCCCTTCAGGTGCCCATTGCTCTCCCCGTGACAGGACTGGTGCCACTGCTGGGGACAGCACTGGGTGCCTGTCACTGGGACATTGCCCAGCCCTCCCCTCCAGGCAATCCATGCTGGTGACCAAGGTCAAAGGGTGGGCACCAGGTACAAGACCCAAGGATGTGTCCACCTAAGCAGACACAGGAGCTGCCATGGCCTGAGGACAGGTTCTGGGGAAGGTCACTGTACCCCAAGGGCACTGACCACCCAAGCCCTCGGGAGCCAGGTGAGGTCCTGCCTCAGCTCCTCCGGGGTGACCAGCCAGCCTGGAGCAGGTGGGGGCCTGGGGACACTCCGGGCACTCACCTCGTACTTTCTCCCTGTTGAGGCTGAGCCAGCGCCAGAGGGGCAGGATGCCACAGCTGCACACCCAGGGGTTGTCCTGCAGGAGAAGGGCTCGGAGCTGGGGCAGGGCGCTCAGCAACGCAGGCTCCAGCTCCCCCAGCCTGTTGCTGCCCAGGTTGAGCGTGGCCAGGCTGGCGAGGGGCAGGAAGGTCTCGGGGCTCAGCACGCTCAGGTGGTTGTGGCTCAGGTCCAGGTCCTGCAGCGCCCCGAGCCCCAGCAGCGCCCGGCCGTGGATCAGCTCCAGGCGGTTGTGGGGCAGGCTGAGCAGCCGCAGCCCCGGCAGCGCAGGGAAGGAGCGCGGCCCCAGCACGGTGATGAAGTTGTAGCCGAGCCACAGGGTGCTGGTGTTGGTCGACAGGCTCCACGGCACCTCGCGGAGGCCCCGCTCGCTGCAGTCCACCTCGCCCGGGGAGCAGCGGCAGGCGGCCGGGCAGGCGGGCGAGGGCGGCGGGTGCAGGAGCAGCAGGAGGGGCAGCACGGGGCCGAGGACTCTCCAGCAGCCCATGGCAGAGAGCAGAGAGGGCTCCCCGACCTGCGGTTACCCAAGGACAGGTTCCCCAGTGCCCGATGCCCTGCCCAGCCCCCTGTCCCTCGGCTGAGCGCGGCGGTGCCGGTGGAGCTGCTCGGCAGTGCCGCGCTCAGCTCCTGCAGCCACACGCGTTCCCCGCTCGCCCGGCCGCAAACCTGGATCAGGCTCTGTTCCCGGACCCGGTTTTCCTCGGGGTGGAGCTGAACTTTTTTCAGCAAATATTTTTGCAGTGATGCTTGCCCTGGCAAGGTGGGGAGCCGTGCCCTCGTCCCTCCCTCTGCCAGGCACTGCTCCAGCCAGGTAAGCAGCCAGTTCTGCGTAGCCTGGGATTAACTGCTTGTGTGTGCTGCAAGCTGGAGAGCTGAAAATAAGCAAAGCCAGATCCATCTTTTGGCCTCCATCCTCTCCAGGGGCATCCCCCGTGGGTGTGCTGCCTCACCAGCCATGTACAGAGGGGCATGTGGGCCCAGGACCCCTGTAACTGGCTGAGTGGGACAGTCAGATCCACAGGTCTAACCCCATCTTCTCTGCTGTCCCACCATGGCCAGGGGTCCTCAGTGGGGAGCTCTGCTGGGAGACATGGGCTACCCCAGTGAGCCCAGCCCTTGTCCAGGCTCTGTTTGCCCCGGCAGGACATCACCAGCCATGTCAAAATGAGGAGGGCTGGGATGAGGGTCCCATGGGCCACTCTTCTCCTCCCCCACAGGGTCACATGTCTGTGTGCACGTGGAGGTTCACCCAGGAGCCCCCTGACGACAATGCATGGGAAAGGTGAGCTTGCTGGGCTGTAGCCACCCAAAACCGGTTTACCCTCAC